CGTGCCACTTGACAAGCTTGTGTCTGAGTCTACCCGTTGTAGGGGAATGACTACCTCCTTGAGCTTCATTTGGCTCATATCTTCTTTGGCAGGAGAGATTTCCAGCTTGTTATTTTTGCAGGGAATAAGTGGGTCCCTGTTTCCCACGTGCATTTGATTTTGGTTATTGTGTTCGCTTTGTTGATTCATCTTATTGAATCCCACTTTCCCGCAGCGGCTCCGTCCCCCAGGGTATACCCCCACCGGCCAAGGGTGCCCCGAAACATGACCGGCCACACCCCAAGGCCGGGCCCCAAGTTCCCCCGGGGAGGGGACATATGTCTTAGACCGGGGGATACCGCACCCCGGCCAGACTCCGAGCCCCTTACACACCCGTGTGGGATTTGACGCCCACACGGGCTTTCAGGGTTCCGCGCCTCCGACAACGCGGGTACCGCAGCGGGCGGCGCCACCCGGGGGCCCCACGGACGCTTTGGACAGGTTTGCCGCTCCCCGGCCCTGCCCTACACGCCGTGGCGACCAGCATATGTGGGCGCCCCTCCTCGAAGACTTTCGAGGAGGGGCAAGCGCCCCCGATCGGTCGGTTCGGAAAGGATAACGGTTCCGACCGACCGGGGATATCTACTCTCGCCCCAGGCCCCGCCTCGGAAACGTCCGAGCGGCCCTGGGGCAGCGGCCGCGGCACCCTCCGGGCTATGCCCCTTGGGTAATCCCTTCGGGCTATGCCCCTTGGGTAACTGCGGCGCGCCTTCGCCGCCATCCTCGGCTCGGATTCGGAAACGTCCGAGCGGCCTGGGTGCGGCCTACCCCAGGGACGCTGGGACGGGGACCCAGGCTACCCAGCATGGAGACCCCCAACCAGCACCCCCGAGGCACCTCCCTGTCCTCGGGAGCCGTTCCACGAACGGGTCCCGAGGACCGATCAACATGGCCCCCTCCGGGCGAAGCCCCTTGGGACAACCCTCCGGGCAAAGCCCCTCGGGTGACCATGTTGACCCCTCCGCCGGCGCGACCCCCTCCGGGCAAAGCCCCTTGGGAAACCCTCCGGGCAGAGCCCCTCGGGTAGTCGCGCGCGGCACCCTCCGCCGACGCCCACCCCTCAACCCCCCAGAGGTAACCCCGAAACAAGCCCCCCCAGGACGGAGGGGGGAGAAAACCCCGGACGGCAGAAGCCGTCTACCTGACAGGCTTGTCAGGCCACAGAGCATGGTGGGAAGGGAAGCGCCGAGGCGCCGTGCAGTCCCTTCTCCTAACGGTGCCATGCCACCGGGCGTTTGAATTCCGGGTCGCCATCCCTTACCACATACGAGCCGAAGCTCTAACGGGGAAGTGGGCCCCGTCTCTCCGGGGGTGGAATTCTTCCACCGCCCGAAGAGAGCCCCATAAGCGGAGGGCGTGCCCCCCAGGCCGGGGGCAGTGTACCTCGTAAGGTACTGGTCGCTGTTAGCACCCCTTGCAAGACTATCCTCTTGCAAAGGGTGAGCCCCTTCGCCACGGCAAGGCCGCGACCCACGAAGGGGAACCTTAGATACCCTGCTGAATGTAGGCACATTGTTCCGTTCCTCTCTAAGCGTCCGTAACTCCTCTTGTAGCGCTGCCATCGTATTTTTGACACTTTTGAGCTCAATTTCAGTGTCCTCACTACGCTTACAGATCTCTTTGATCTCAGCCTGAAGCTCCTGATTAACTCGTTGCAGGTGGTTGATGTCACCCTGAGCCTGGACCTTTTCGCTATAGGCGTGGACAACATCTCCCAATTGCTCCAGATACCGCTTCCAACGACCACTAAACGGACCAGAGACATTTTTACTTTTGCCTCGCAGGATTTCTGTTTGATTAATCAGTGACAGGCCATACGAAGCAATTTCGCCATTGTTCATAGCGACCAGTTCCTCAATGCTAATTCTAGCAGTGACGTCCGAGTCGCACGAAATATCCAGATCCGGATTGGTGGTCTTGTTTTTGTCCAATCCCAAACTGGGAACCAAAGTGCTTTTTTTCTTATTTTGAGGTATTTTCTTTTTAGAACCGCTAGCTTTTTGGCTGATCGACAAATCCGATGCAGCCGCATTCGTGTCATCATCATCTGAGATGATAACAAGACTCGATTCAGGCAGCACATCTCTGTCATCAACAGCAGCAAGCCTTTTGCTACGCCGTCTTCTCCCGGTGTTTTTTGTTTTGCGCAGGACTCTTCTTTCATTCGGTGAGGAGGATCCGGCATCATCCTGACTCGAATCAATAGTAGGCTCAACATCTTCTTCCTATTCAACAGCAGCATCCTGTTCGTTCTGTTCATCTGAGCTGACTATTATTCTATGCTTACGGCTCCTACTGACCGAAGCAACAGCATCATTTTCAGGCGATTCGTCGGCTTTTCTTTTAGATGCATGATCGGATGGTAACACATCTTTGACAAATTCAACTGAAGGAGTATTAGATCCCACTCTGACAGTCTTAAAAGGATCATATACTGGATCAACATGTGATTGTTGATCACCTGGTGGGTCAGTATTTGCCACCACTACGTCCATCCGTTCATAACCTGCCTCAACCTCAGGTTCATTTAAGACCGCGGTAGCCATATTAACCTGCTTGCCCAACGGCAACGAGCAGGCCAGCCCCTCGTTTGATGACGACAAGGCAGAGCCGGGGACAACAACTCCACCATGCCGGTCGCTGGAAGCTCCGATCACCTCCTGCGACAGTAAGTTTAATTCGTGTTCCTGATTGTGTGCCATGTTTGTATAATAATTTGGTTTTTCAGAGGGTGTCCTTCCTCCGTAATCGCAATCCATGGACTCGCCGAGTTGGTATAAAGAAGATCCGTTCAGAGTGTTTTTAGCAATATCGTCAGTCATCGAGCAAGAGATAGCGCGAAATTCTTCGTTAATCCTCTCAAGCTCGGCTTTCTTATCGCTAATCGAATGTCTCATGTTGATAAGGTTGTCCTCTGCCTTGTCCAATTCAACCATCCTTGTTAAATCCTCGAGTTGTGACGCCATAGAATCAACCATAAGCTGATTAAGTGGAATTGTTTCACTTGAACCAGACGAGGTATTATTTATCCTGCGCGAACTAAGTTCAACTTCATCTATATTAGGTGGAGAATTTATCCTCACAATGCTGTCAGAATTGAGATCTTTAATAAGCAATTCGTATTTACACACCTTACCTAGGAGATACGAACGAGCGCAGAACATTTTATAGCCCTGATTATATATAATTTTAACGCATGCTTCAATATTATTCAGATCTGCAAGGATTTCAGAGTAGTCACGTATCAAATTATTATTGCGTAACTTAACAACAGAGCCCATCGCACAACCCAAAAGCATGGTGGATGTGAGGCGGGCTTTATTTAGACGCACCATAAGTTCTTCAGTTGACTCCATATTGGAGTTGTATAATTGAGTGTCAATGTAAGATGTTAACTTCAGGCAATAATATAGCAAGGTAATTAAAGATTTGCAAAGGCTCCACTAGGGTTATTGTCATAACATAGAGAACCCATGCAATAGTTACACTTGGATTGTGATATATGTAATGGTGTGCTGATACTGTATAGTTAACATATTGACAAATCACACTCCTTAATCGCTGTGTTTATTTGTCTAAAACTTTTGGGCGTGTCTGCATAATTTTGCGGCATCTCCTCTTCAAATTAATTGAAGTCTGGAAATCAATTGTGTTATCTAACAAATAATTAGTTACAATTAAAGCGCGTCGTACAGCAGCAATCAACCAGACTTCAATTAATTTGAAGAGGAGATGCCGCAAAATTATGCAGACACGCCCAAAAGTTTTAGACAATTAAACACAGCGATTAAGGAGTGTGATTTATCAATATGTTAACTATACAGTATCAGCACACCATTACATATATCACAATCCAAGTGTAACAATAGTATAGTCAGATTTGGATCAATACACTATATTTGATTATCACTTTTATTTGTATGATTTAATTAGTTTGTCCAGTAGTTTAAGTTATTGAAATTATCACTTTAGTCGCGGAAAAGTCAAGATTGTCAATTTACCAGATTTTTCCCTAGATCTAGTAATTTGGGATATTAGGTAAAATATATTGAGTCATATGCCTATAATATATTCACATATGATAATTATCAGCAATATTTATAGTGCTGATTTCGTTTTGACAGTGATTTATCACTTTGTAAAGATTATACACAATATGCAATTATTTAGATAAAATTAGTCCAATTATGTAAGAAAACAATGTTTTGTATACAAAATTACTTTAAAAATAAATTAAAAATAAAGAAAAACTAAGGGTTGTCCAAATCACCAAATTTCCCCCAGATCTAGTAACCTGGGTTGAGGCGCGAAAACACATCAAGTTGCACATCTATGCCGCAGTTCGTGATTATTTGATAACTTGAAAACATTCCATGTATCATAATTAGAGTTTAACAATGTGATAGTCAGTTTTGGATCAATACATTAGGTTTAATTATCACTTAATTTATATAATTTAGTAAATTAATCCAATAGTTCGAGTTATTAACATTTGTCACCCCAATATGTATTAAAACATGAGAGAAATCAAGAATGTCCAGTTTACCAATTTTTTCACCAGATCTGGTAACCTGAGGTTTCAGACAGCATATATTAAGTCAAACATCTTTGTTATGTTCACATATGTTAGTATCAGCAATAATTTATAGTGCTAATTCCTATTTAGCAATCACTTATCACATTTGCAAAAAATATACATAATATATAATTATTTTGATAGAATTAGTCCAAATTATGCACGAAAACAGTGTTTTTATATGTAAAATCACTTTAGAAATAAGGAAAACCGAAAATTGTCCAATTCACCAAGTTTCCCCTAGATCTAGTAACTTGGGTCAAAATGTGAAAGACACATCGAGTTTCGCATTTATGTTACAGTTCGTGATTGTTCGACAATCTTGGCTACGGAGTTCACTCATATACCAACAGATGGCGCGTCGATGTCCGTTTGCCACTTATTAGTCCCGAGAGGAGAAAACATACCCGGGAGAGAGAGTTCATAACCTAATCCTTGCAAAGTGTCACTTTAACAGTGCAGCGGTCTCACAAATGTACTCGTTTGGATAGTAAATAATTAATTTATATGAACAGACTGTAATAATTGTGCAAGTGTAAAAGGTAACATAGACTTTATATATTGTTGAATAGCAATAGTAGAGAAATCCAAAATATTTAACAGTATGTATATGGAGGTAAATTAAAACAGTTCTATATTATCATTATTAAATTCTATAAAGTTATTTATGATTAATTGATTATTAAGTATATATATTCACGTCTATCAATATTATTGTATAAACTAGAAAATGATATTAAAGAATCATATAAGTACTTATGTGTGTTATTCCCCGTGCATTAATCAGATGTCAGTAATACATGGTATACATTATATTTACCAGTGAATAGCACACCACCCGGAAACAAGAGTACAAGATATAACCTACAAGAATACATCCTGCACTACAATGACGCAGGTGTCAACAGGTCATCTGAATAGTATTTAGGTTTACCGCAACTTCAAGTATATTAACACAAATGCAGCCTCGCAGAGAAAGTCACATATTTTACACTATTAGAGATGACGTAAGTTCTGTAACGGTTCACCTTTCCCGACGCCGCGGATCGGCTCGCCGGTTCCAGGATTCGGGAGGAAGGGGGAGATTCAGACTCGCTTATTCCTTATTAACAATGCTTTGGTTTATTCAAAAAGAAACAAATAAACAAAATGTTTGTTGGCATAAAGCCTAAATAGAGAAACTTATTGACTACTCGGTATAAACAAAATGTTTGTTGGCATAAAGCCTTAAATAGAGAAACTTATTGACTACCCGGTATAAACAAAATGCGGAGGCGTGTAGCCTGTAGCGGTGTCCGGAAAAGATTTACAAATTACCCGGTATAACTTAGAGATATGGTGTACGGAGGCGTATAGCTTATAGCAGGAAGAAACCGGAAATCGGGAAACCCGGCGTAATGACGAGGAACCCGTCACCCGGTGTATAGCAGGAAGAGACCGGAAACCGGGAAACCCGGCGTAACAACGAGAAACCCGTTGCCCGGCGTGTAGCAGGAAGAGACCGGAAACCGGGAAACCCGGCGTAACAACGAGAAACCCGTTGCCCGGCGTGTAGCAGGAAGAGACCGGAAACCGGGAAACCCGGCGTAACAACGAGAAACCCGTTGCCCGGCGTGTAGTAGGAAGAGACCGGAAACCGGGAAACCCGGCGTAACAACGAGAAACCCGTTGCCCGGCGTGTAGCAGGAAGAGACCGGAAACCGGGAAACCCGGCGTAACAACGAGAAACCCGTTGCCCGATACTAAAGGTAGGAAGCCAGAAACCAGGAACCCGGCGTAACAACGAGAAGCCCGTTGCCTGGCTAGGAGGTCCGGAACAGGACTGGTGCCGGCTCATCCGTCGAGCCGGCTTATATACCCTGCCGGCGGTTCCCCCACTCTATATCGAGGCTGTGGTGGGGGTAACGCCGGCGTCGTAGTGGGGCGCCTCTGGGGGTTGTAGTGGGGCGCCCCTGGGGTAGGGTGACCCGTGTATCAGTTATGTTTTTGTGCTTAGGGGCGCCTTAGGCGCCATAGCCTCAGTGGCGGGCGGGTGATCGGCCCGCGAGGCGTTAGTAACGGACACGCCGTTACACTACCCCCTCTCTAGACGGCGGATCGTACGTGGTCGGCCAAATTGGTCGAACCGTATTATCCACCGTCCAGTAGGGGAGGTGGCTCGGAACTTCCGAGTAGCGTGGGCGCAGTGCCACGGGACCGCCACCACGTGCCCGTCGTCAAGGGTAACCATGACGACAGGCGACGCGGGAGGCGGCCTGCGGACCTCCCGAGCTGGTGGTTGGGAGGAGGGTGCCGCCACTGCTGTGACGGCGCCCACCCCCGCTACCCTCTCGGGGAGGGCCCGGGCTGGCTGCGCCCGAGGAACGGCGGGACGCCGCGGTAGTTCGGCCCGGACTCCCCTCGGCCGTGGACTTGGCGGTGGCGGCGGCGCGGTCTGCAGGATAGCCCTTCGGCGCTCCTGCTGCACGTCCGACCGCTGGACCGAGACCCCCGGCCGAGGGAGCCGGACCGACGCCGCTGGGGCCTGGTTGACAGGCGGCCCCTTTGGCTCGTCAGCCGTTCCTTCACTCTCCTCCGAGGAGGAGATATCACCAAAAAGCGCTTTGATGGTCGGTTGACTCATCGCAGCAATATGAGCCGGGTCATTGACCCGGCCCCCCTTATATACCCCTACGAGGGGTCTTTGAATGCGAGAAAACCGAATTCCCCCTGCGGACCCTAGCGGCGGGGGGTCGGACCTCGTGACCCGTCTGTGTCGGTGGTTAGTCGCGGGAGCGCCGCGAAATGGCGCGCGGTGCGCTGGGGGGCCCGTAGCGGCGGGCTCGGGCCTTCGCCCGGCGATCTTATCGGCCGAGTCGGGAGGTTGATACAGGGAACCGCGAGATGGCGTGGGGGGTATGGCGCTGGAGGAATCACGGCGGCTGGCCCTGTCCTACGCTCCGATGGTTTCCTCGTCCTCTTTCTCGGATGCCGCCTTGAGGTCCTGCACATGGATGTGGCGGTGCCATCGTCCTCGGCGTCGTCCTTGAGGTCAACAATTACGGGGGATACGATCCTCCGGACAGTCATCGGTCCGCTGTACTTCGGGGCCAGCTTGGCGTTGAACGCGTTGGCCTTGCTGGACAGGGGCGGTCGCGTTTCCAGACGCGTTCGCCCAGCTGCGGTCGCCAGTCTCGTCGCCGCAGGTTGTACGGCTTCTCTTGCCGCTGGAAGGCCCGGGCGAGGTGGATTCGGACCACCTTGTAGGCGTCCTCCAACTGGGTCTGGCGGGTGCTTGGTCCTGGTGCTGGTGCGGTTCCTGGTCGATCCTCTGGATGTGGGCGGGCGAGCTCTCGGCCGTGCAGGATGTAGGCCGGAGTGTATCCGGTGGCCTCATGTCGGGCGGTGTTGATGGCGAACTGTAAGGCGGGGATTCGCTCGTCCCAGTCTTTGTGCCGCCGGCCTACGTACTGGCTGATCATTGTTTTAACCGTACGGTTCGCTCGCTCTACCGGATTGCATTGCGGAGTGTACACGGGGGATGTCCGATGTTGTATCCCGTAGGAGGCTAGCAAGGCCTTAATGCGTTGCGCGACGAACTGAGTCCCGTTATCGGACACCAGGGCGACCGGACACCCGTGCCGGTATATCAGGCGGTCGGTGAGTGCTCGGGCTACGGCTACGGCGGTTTTCTAAGCGGGACCATCTCGATCCACTTACTGAACCGGTCTTGTATGGTTAATAGCCAGGTATGGCCGCTAGTGGATCGAGGCAGGGGACCGATCAGGTCTACGGCGGCTTGTTCCCATGGTGCGCGGACGGAGGTGGCCATCATCCGTCCAGCCGGTCGTTGTTGACTGGCTTTGTGCCGCGCACAATTAGCGCACCCTTGACGTACCGGGCAATTTCCCGAAACATGCCGGGCCAGTAATATAGCTGGGCCACCCGAGCCAATGTTTTGGAAATGCCTAGGTGCCCGGCGGCCGGGTCGTCGTGCATTCGCTGAAGCAGGGCGGGTCGTTGGTCTGTAGGCACGCACTGCTTCCATTGCTCCTTGGCTGGTGTTTCCCGGAAGTCCAGATCGTGGAGTACATGCCTGTACAATCGTTGATCCTGGATTTTATAGTCCGGGTGATCGGTCGGATGTCTCCGTACTTCGGCTAGTTTACGGTGGTACCACCGGCATTTCGGCCGGGTCACCGCCAAAGCTTCCGGGAGGCGGGAGAGGGCATCTGCCACCTGGTTAAGTGTCCCGCGCCGGTACTGGATGTCGAAATCATGTTGTTGTAATTCGAACATCCAGCGGGCTAGTCGTCCGGTAGGGGCCTCGATGTGTTGTAACCACTTTAAAGCTTGGTGGTCGGTCACGACGGTGAATCGGTAGCCCTCGAGGTAATCCCGCATCCGGCGTATACCCCACACGACAGCCAAGCACTCTAGTTCGGTAGCGCTATAATTCTTCTCGGCTGCGTTGAGGGTCCGGCTGGCGTACGCGATAACCCGCTCTCCTTCGCCGAGGTGTTGGGTTAATACGGCCCCTAACCCGTGGGCGCTGGCGTCGGTTTGTAGTAGAAATGGTCGCGCAAAATCTGGACAGGCGAGGACAGGTGCGGTGGTTAAGGCCTGTTTTAGTTTCCGGAACGCGGTTTCTTCTTCTTTTGCCCAGGTCCAGCGCGCTCTCTTTTTAGTGAGTCGAGTGAGAGGGGCGGCGATAGTGGAGAAGTCAGCGATGAATCGGCGGTACCATGACGCTACCCCCAGAAATTGCCGAACCCTGCGGAGGGTCGTGGGGGCAGGCCAATCGGTAATGGCTCGCACTTTCTCTGGGTCCGTCCGGATTCCGTGCCGATCGATAACGTGTCCGAGGTACCGGAGACTTGGCCGGCAGAAGTGACACTTTTCTGGGTTGAGACGGAGTCGGGCGTCACGGAGGCGGCGAAAGACTTCGGCCAAGTGGCCTAGGTGCTCCTCGAAAGTACGGGATGCGACAACTATGTCGTCCAAGTAGACGAGGACGTGTGGCTCTAATTCGGGTCCTAGCACGGTGTCGAGCAGCCGTTGGAAGGTGGCCGGTGCTGAATGCAGTCCGAATGGCATGACGCGGAACTGCATCAGCCCTCTCCCTGGCACCGTGAAGGCGGTTGCGGGGCGGCTCTCCGGAGTTAGTGGCACTTGCCAATACCCGCTGCGTAGGTCCAACGTGGACAAGTAGTGTGCGCCTCGTAGCTTATCCAAGGTGGCGGCAATGTGAGGCAGCGGGTATGCATCTTTCTCGGAGGCCGCGTTTAATCGGCGGAAGTCTATACAAAATCGGTAGGTCCCGTCTTTCTTCTTTGCCAGCACTATCGGAGAGCTCCAGGCGCTGGTGGAGGGCTCGATGACTCCTTCGGCTTCCATCTTTTGGACCTCTTGGTCGATCACGGCTTGCATGGCCGGATTACGGGGCCGATATCGTTGTTTAATGGGCGGCCCCGGTTTTAGCCGAATTTGGTGCGTGGCTTTGTCGGTCGGGCCGCGGACCTATTCGAACTTTGGAAGTTCGTTATTTAGAAAGGCCTGTAGCCTTAGCGCCTCGCTGGTAGTTCCTGGGCTGATACTGGCTGTCGCGATTCCATCTTTGGTTGTTGTCTCGGTGACAGGTCTGGGCGGCGGGCGCAGCTCGACTCCTAATTTCGCCCAGAGGTCTATGCCTATTAGTACGGCGTTGTCTAGTTGTGGTAGTACGGAGAAGCGGTGGCGGTACGATTTCCCTCGTAACCTGACCGTTGCTTCGATGGTCTCGGCAATGGGGACTTGGGTCCCGTCGGCCAGGCGTATCTGGGCTGCCTTGAGATCTGGGCTAGACGGTGTGCGGTTGATTCGGCGGGCCGTTTCAGCGTTTACGAATGAGATCTCTGAGCCGGAATCGAGGAGGCCCCACAAATGTTGTCCGGCGATCTGGATCCGGAGGTGCGGTCTCGGGTTGTATTTTAGGCCGAGTCGGGCTGGACGACGGCCGCGACGTCTCCGGCCCGCACCCCGTTTCCCGTCGGGGGGTGGCAGTCACGGGTGAGGACCCCGTCCTTGCCACATCTCGAGCAGAATTTCTTCGGAGGTCGCTGGCAGTGCAGGCGTGTATGTCCTCGTTGCTTGCACCTCCAGCAACATTCCTCCCGACTGTAGACCGCGGAAGCTACGACCGGGGTGTGGCTTTGCGGCACGTCCCTTCGTCGTTCCTGTCTCCGGCGGTCGGCCTCTTCGTATTCGGTGGCTCGGATGCTCAGATCCCCGACGCTGAGCACGTCCGCCCGACGGATGTACAATTGGTACTCCGGATCCATGTTTTCGTAGAGCTGTTCCAGTTGGTCTAGGGGTGAATATCCCCCGGCGCGCCGCATCATGGTCAGGACCTCGGTGGCGTACTTTTGGAAGGACTCTTTAGGGCGTTGTTGACGTCCCTGGATCGTCCTTTTCATCTGTCTCTCATACCCGCTTGGCAGGTATTGCTGGCGGACAGCTTGGCGAAAGTCGGCCCAGCTGGCTATGGTATCGCGGATGTTGCGATACCACAGCAGGGCGTCTCCCCGTAAGAGTTCGGGTAGCCCTAACAGCATCTGGGCGTCGGTGTAGCCGTAGCCCAGGCACAGCTCTTCCGTACGCTCGAGGAATGCCAGGGGGTCCTTGCCCTCGAAGTGGCACCCCCATTTTCGGATCTGATCCATGATCCTGGCCGGTTCAACAGGTGTCGGGGTGGTAGCTTCTTCGTCTTTGGTTGGGCTTCCGGTGGCCATTTCGACGTTGATAGTGGGCACAGGTAGGTGAGTTCGAAATAGCGCGGGGTTTTGCCCGACAAATCGGCGGAGGCGTCGGCGGACCTCGTCTAAAGTTCCTTGGCTATCGATTCCGTGTCTTTTGGCCAAGGCAATAGCTTCGGATTTTGATAATTGATTTACCCACGCGGGCATCTGGATAGGCTTAAGCGAGTCGGGATCTCCACTGGGCAGGTCCCTGTTCGGGCGCCATGTAACGGTTCACCTTTCCCGACGCCGCGGATCGGCTCGCCGGTTCCAGGATTCGGGAGGAAGGGGGAGATTCAGACTCGCTTATTCCTTATTAACAATGCTTTGGTTTATTCAAAAAGAAACAAATAAACAAAATGTTTGTTGGCATAAAGCCTAAATAGAGAAACTTATTGACTACTCGGTATAAACAAAATGTTTGTTGGCATAAAGCCTTAAATAGAGAAACTTATTGACTACTCGGTATAAACAAAATGTTTGTTGGCATAAAGCCTTAAATAGAGAAACTTATTGACTACCCGGTATAAACAAAATGCGGAGGCGTGTAGCCTGTAGCGGTGTCCGGAAAAGATTTACAAATTACCCGGTATAACTTAGAGATATGGTGTACGGAGGCGTATAGCTTATAGCAGGAAGAAACCGGAAACCGGGAAACCCGGCGTAATGACGAGGAACCCGTCACCCGGTGTATAGCAGGAAGAGACCGGAAACCGGGAAACCCGGCGTAACAACGAGAAACCCGTTGCCCGGCGTGTAGCAGGAAGAGACCGGAAACCGGGAAACCCGGCGTAACAACGAGAAACCCGTTGCCCGGCGTGTAGCAGGAAGAGACCGGAAACCGGAAAACCCGGCGTAACAACGAGAAACCCGTTGCCCGGCGTGTAGTAGGAAGAGACCGGAAACCGGGAAACCCGGCGTAACAACGAGAAACCCGTTGCCCGGCGTGTAGCAGGAAGAGACCGGAAACCGGGAAACCCGGCGTAACAACGAGAAACCCGTTGCCCGATACTAAAGGTAGAAGGCCAGAAACCGGGAAACCCGGCGTAACAACGAGAAGCCCGTTGCCTGGCTAGGAGGTCCGGAACAGGACTGGTGCCGGCTCATCCGTCGAGCCGGCTTATATACCCTGCCGGCGGTTCCCCCACTCTATATCGAGGCTGTGGTGGGGGTAACGCCGGCGTCGTAGTGGGGCGCCTCTGGGGGTTGTAGTGGGGCGCCCCTGGGGTAGGGTAACCCGTGTATCAGTTATGTTTTTGTGCTTAGGGGCGCCTTAGGCGCCATAGCCTCAAGTGGCGGGCGGGTGATCGGCCCGCGAGGCGTTAGTAACGGACACGCCGTTACAGTTCAAATATTAAATATTAATTATTGAATAATTATAAAATTGTCTTATTTATATATATGTATATATGTATCAAAAGTTATGTTCTAATGTAATATTCTTAAATCCATTTCTACTAATTATTGATTACAGTCCCGATATGTAAGATTCATTGACTACTTAGTTTTTATTCATTAAGAAATCACACAGTCATATGCAAATTGAACCAATTGTCATTTAACGTCACTCTATTTATCACATAAAACATACATGTATATTAATTTCACTTATCTTTACGCAGCGGACAGAACTCCAAGATGATGAAAGACTCCGTAGGATCACCAGAAGCATCTGAGGGGTCTCAGGGATTCCAGCGCATCAACAATTCCAAGATAACCAAGAAGGCAGCTTCAGAATCTCAACGAAGACCCACTCCGTCCCAAATTAGGATGTATAAGAGCATCAATTCAGGAATTTGACATTTCATCACAGCACTTGTAATAATTCCCAGCGAAACGCTCAATAGGTAGTGAAACAAAACTGCGCATGTTTCATCACCAACTTAGAGTTTTAAAGAATGATCATAAGACATTCTAAAGTATATATTAATCCGTTCAATTCTGTTTTGTTGATTTATTTTCAGCTTAGTGAACTTATTACTAGAAATAACTAAAGAGTCTGTATAATTTCAGATGACTGTCATGTTTAACTCAAAGGAAGATCACTCAGCTATTTTGAACTTCCATTTATGCATCCATTAGTTATTATAGATGCTTCACAGGTAATTATAATTATAGGTGTAGTACCAATATACTACTACACTTTAGTATCCTAATTTAACACTTAAAATTTAATAGTTGCATACATCTAACTTAAGTTAATTAGTCAAGTGTTAACTATCTATTATGTTTTAGATTATAGGGAAGATGTAAAATGCCAAGACGCGGTTACAGCACATGTGCATTGCTTAACACTGTTCTTGGACGGGATTTAGCACAGCACTATATAATTCGTCTAAATCGAACGTATATAAGGTTAGTATTATTTAACTAGTATCAAGAGATATTCAACGCTAATATATTTCTTAAACTAGAGTATTTTAAAACAACAAGTCAAAGAATATTATAGATTCACCACCGGCTTATATTTTAAAAACTTTATAAAAGAATATTAACTATTCAAGTCTATTTTCAATATCGGTCTATAAACTTGTTACAAACAGCTTTAAAGTAGTCAAAGTATTTGTATGAGTAGACGTATTACTAAAAAGTAATCAATTCTATGTAATTTCAGATGATTATGATATTTCACACAACGGGAAGACCACCAAGTTATTTGAACTTCCGGCACCTTATTTATGCATCAGTTAGTTGTTATAAATGGTGTTATAAACCCATCATAGGTGATTATAATTACAGGTGCGATATTAATATAATATCACATCTCGCTATTACCATCTAACACTTGAAATTCATTAGTTACGTGTATCCAACTTGAAAACAATTGGTCAAATATTAACTGTCTGCTATGTTTTGGATTATAGGGATAAGATGTAGGCGCCAAGGCACGATTGCAACGCAAAAGTGTTTCTCAGCACTGATCTAAAATGAATTTTTATCACCGCACTATAAATTTATCCAATTCGGTTATATATAAAATTAGTGTTTCTTTGGCTATCACAAACTAAAGTATTAAACAATAGGTCAAAGTATATTATAGATTTCACCACCAACTTTATTTTTCTGAACTTTGTAGAAGAATACTAACTGTTCAAGTCTGTTTTTCAGTATCAATCTGTAAACTTGCTAGTATTAAAATAGTCCTAATATTTGTATGATTCCAGGTAATATCACCTAAGGCCACAAAACTATCTTTCTCCTACAAACTTCCTTTGTTTGAGGATATAATACAACACAGATATGTAAGTATAAACGATATTATACTCTATTACTGGTGTTTGTCATTTAAGATTAGTCAATTATTCCTATACGACTTCATAATTAGTCATATATGATATAAACTCTCTGTTGTATTTCAGATTGAGGAACAGGATGCAAAACGCAAAAGCGCAGTAACAAACACAAAAACGATCCTTGACACTGTTTTAAGGAGGTGTTCAAACACAGCACTATAAGATTTACCAACTCCATCGTAATAAGATTAATGTTATTTTAGATGATATCAATGATGAATACTTAGCTATAATATTTACACAAGATAGTGACTAACTAAAATATTTAATGTGTAGTAAGACAATGCATGTTCGCTCATAGACTCAGTATTTTAAATAGTAATTTCTAAATCCTGCAAATATATTCGTAGTCCAAATACTATGCATATTACTAGAATACTTAGACTGTTTATGTAATTCCATAGAATTATCATATATTAATATCCGCAGAAAGACCGTTAGCTATCTTTTCGTCTGCGTGCACCTCGTTTATAGAAGATTCATTACATTAAACAAATGTTAGCAGGTATAAATATTATGCTTACTGTTTTCCATTTAACACTTGAGAATAGTCAGATATTTGTCTAGTTTCGAAGTTAATCAATTATAGTAATTGTCTGTTGCATTGCAGTTAAGAAAAAACATTATGTTGTGACCGAACGTTGTGAGAGAAGAGGCCCTCCTTCCGACTTACCAGCCAACAGACGTCCCGCTTTCACCTTTGATGGTCGCCACTTACTTTAACCTCAACAAGTAAGAAGGTGGAAGTAGCCAAAGTGTTCCTTTGATGTAGGTACGCTCGGTGATGCGGTCAGGCTCGAGCCGTCCTTGATATGCGCCGCGCCGTTCTTTGAAGATGGCCGTCGCTGCGACGCAAGTCAGTGTTGCGTCAGGTGTGTGCGAACAATGGAAGTTCGCAGGAACTTGACTAAGTGCTTTCTCCCCTTTGATTTCAGGATACCGACGGACTATCTCTACGCCCTAGGAACGGATTCACACCCGAAGGAGATACGACGTGGGATGCGGATACGTAGGTAAGTAACAGATCACGTTTTTTCAGGTTTCACTACGAACGTTTATTCAATAGCGTCCTACGCTTGAACTCTGTACAATGGTTACGGATTACACTCGCTTGATTTCCTCACGACGGTAAATTTTACCGTTCACAAACACTCGCGATCAGTTCGCTTGCGACAAGCGTTATGCCGCCTATTAGTTTGCGCATTCGTTAAACGGTCTCGTAACGATTGTGATTTTATCGCGGACTAGATTCGCCGTGGCTCGTCTAGCAGTTGCACGCGAATACACTGATCGAACGAAATTAACGAGACAGTGTTGTCCCGGACAAGTCGCACAACTTTCGCACGCAAAGATGCTACTCGCCTAATAACGGTATTCACACGACTGCCACTCGCGTTATCCCGAATCACGATACGCGTAAAACAAAGTCTACGCTTCCGTAAGTACGACTGTCTTCGAACCGTGCAGACTACGTCTGACTGTGCGATCGAGTCCGTACCGTGCCGACTGTGTCTAGTGATGTTCGCTCCCGACTTTTATAGTGCGCCTCCCGCTTGCCCTACCTTGGCCCGCCGGCCAATCGCGGAGCGGCGCCCCACTGCTGGGCTCAGCGCGAATCGCTGCGCGGCAGTGTAGCGCGTGTTCAGCGAGAGTTCCTATTTCGCATTTTATCGGTGTAAGGTGCGTTCGACAAGAGTTCCTATTTAACCAATTTTTGGTTATCGCTCTTTTATCGTGTCCTGATGCTCGGGACCGGTTCACTATCGCATAAACATGCTAAATAATTTATAAAATAAATAATGACGTACATTTATCCTTGTGGGTGTTCCGTAAACAACTAAAATAAATTATTATTAAAATATTATCACCACAAGTTTGTTTAGGAATAAACGAATGTCTCGAATGTTTAACTAAAAATGCCAATAAACGTAAATAACTTTTTACAGGTAAACAAACGTAACGATAATGTCTCAACATTCGGGAGTCTCGTTTATTCGACCTTAATATTAGCCTATCGGTTATATACTTAATTTAACTAAGAGAATATATATTATGTTAACTGATATATTTTAGTATATTTATTTTTTTTTGTGTTTGGCTCGGCGTGCATCCGATATAGATCATGTGTATCTTATCATCTCATCTTGTCCTTTTGGGCGTATGTCCCAAATTGACTTGGGATGCTGTTCCATCCCTAGGTCCTTTACGTTTGAACAAAGATTCAAGTTTTTATAGGTTATGGGGTTCCAGGTCATCGGGAACCCTATCTCGACTTTTGATCTCTCGGATGCCCGCTGAGACAATTTAAGGTTTAGTTTTTATTTGCTGTTTTTGTGTTTTTATATTACGACTTATAATTAGGCGTCCAAAGTCATCACCTGACTTTTCGGTAACTAAAAATTAGTAAAAACTAAAACTGGCTTTGGAGAGTCGTTTGCTCCGGGTTCACACTTGTATCTGATTACTTAATGATCTGGACTAGTGATCATGGTTCCAGCGCACCTCTATCGCATCTTGCGATTACGCCTTATTTGGACATTTGCGTTGGAGATTTAATTAACGCAGTTCTTGACTTACTGTCTTACTGCAAGTGTGAATTCGTTGCAAGCACTCTTCCAAATGCTTTGTAAATAATAATAATAAAAAAACGTATGGACGCGATCGCTTAACTTAAATTTACGACTATACTTATACTATATACATATTTACATCTTTTAGACGACTACCGTCCCGGATGTGCTGGGATCTCTCTGGGGACCTTGTTGACCATGGGTCACCTTGCTGGATACGCTGAGATGCTCATCAGTCGCTCACCTGGTATGTATCAGTTCTGGGTATTTAGATCACTTGCGATCGCTGTCGACTCACCTTCCGGATCATCTGGAATAGTTTCTTTGCCTGTTTCGACTGTAGCGGACTTCTGCGGATCGCGACCAGTGGTACCCCCTTCGATTATTTCAGGAGTATGTATGCATCCTTCTGGAATTATCTTACCAGAATCCGCAGATGGCTGCTCAGGCGATGGTGTCTGTGCGCTATTCTGTCGCTTAGTCTTTTTCGGCCTTGGCTCTTTCGACTGAATTTTATCTTCGTCGGACGACTCTTGAGAAGACTGTTCGACGTACGAAACTTTACTTTTGTTTCGCCGTTTTAACATCGCTGTAGGAGCTCCTGCGTCTTTAATTAGGCATCTGAGTTCCTTTGATACGTTTTGCACGCTCTTGATCCTCAATCCCGGCGTAGCTTTTTGTTTGCCACTGGATGTCTTTGGTGGATCTTGATGATTCGGTGGCTGATTTTCGTCCACTTCTTCTTCAGATTCCGAGATGATTATAGGACGTCTGAGTTCTTTACTGCGTTTGAGTGTTTTCGCAAACGATGTAGATGGAGTACTGTGCTTGATCGATTTATGTACTTCAGCTTCTTTCTTTTTTGAATTCGACGTTACCTTTGATTCATGTGTAGACACTGTATTTGGATTTTCGGGTGTTGACGGATCTTTACTCGCGATTTGATTCTGCTCGGGTTGGTCTGCAGATGCGGTCTTTTTTGATGTTATCGGTCGTAAGTCCTTATTATCGTAAATTATGAATTGCCGATTTCTGTTGGGGCCTTCCATAAATACGGTAACGAGTTTATCAGCCCAATTAGTTGTGACTTTTTTAGCTGCGTTTTTCCCATTGATTTCGTGAGTAATCGTGATCGGAAGATTGGATAATGCTTCGATTCCTTTGTTACAAGTAATCTTAGTCATGCCTGTTACTGTCACTACGATGTCGTTTGCATAGTTGACGAGAATGCATTTATCGACATGTGTATGGGATTCGGAGTTCGTCTCAATCAAATCTTGTTTGAGTTGGTTGAGGATTTCTTCTCCTTCACTCTCCGTATCGGTGATTGGTTTTTTTCGCAGTTCTTCGAGCGTTTTCTCCATCGATGCGATACGTTTCTTTCTTCTCGCGTTTTTTCGTTGCTTCAGTTCTTCTTGCAACAATTCTAATAGCTCGTGTTCTCGGTTGTCGAGCGATTCGGACTCACTATCCATTTCGGCATGCATCTCTTGTCTGCTTGTCGAAATTGTCCACTCGCGAATTTGCACGTGTTGCTCGATTGATGCGCGGTCGTTTTGTGACGTGCCGTTGCGCGTTGTCGCGACGTCACGGTACGTTGCGTCGTCTGCTTGAGGTTCCCCCTCTACGCGGTCTTTTGGCTGCTTCGTTGCGTCACTTGATACGACTGGCGGAGTTCCGTTATTGTCGATATATGTTGTTTGTCCGGTGATGAAATTATATTTCGCTGGTTTTCCTTTTTTCAGTATCAATCGTTCGTGTGATCGAGTTAATTTATAATTTCTGTTAATCGTTTGGAAGTGTGAATTGTTTAATTCTTCTTTTCTTTTTTCAGGTTTTATGCAGCTGATGTCTTCGCTGGATTTCGGATTTTGTGTTATTAAGTATTGTTCCGTTTTGTCCTGTTTTGAGTTAATTGTTTTTTTTCTGTTTTGTAGGTTCTTGGAGCTGGGATTTCCCTTCTGTGGTTGGATGATTTAACTTCGCTGGGATGATCGTCTTATAAGGTAAGTTTTTCAAATTTTGGGTTTAGTGTGTTGGAGTGAAACTAATTATTGTAATGTGTTGTGTTTGACTCCCTTGTTTGATTCTAGGTCCGCTTATTATTCCATCTCTATTATATGAGAAAAATGGAATTTTGCTTTTTCGGTACTTAAAACTATGTATCTTATTATCTAAACTTATTCTAGTATCTTAAATTTACTGAGTATAACTGTACATTTTTTTCATAAGGTTAAAATAAAATGTTATACTTATTGTTAAAATTAAATATTTGTTAAAATATTGATCATTATCTTGATTAAAACTAATTATTTTAGCTAGGTTTATACTTAAAATGAAAGACGTTAATTTTAGCTAAATTTATATCTTATCTATTAATATCGTAACTATGTACATATGGTAAAAATAATAATAAAAAAAAACTACTTGTTTTTATGATTGTTGTGTTTTTCAACCAAAAAAAAAAAAATTATTGCTGTACATATATTTATGTAAGTGACTTTAATAATTAAATTAATTATTTATATGGCTTTTGCCCCCTTCTAATTTTTGTTAGAAGGTTTTTTAAGACTAATTTAACATTTACGTTTTTTTTTTTTTTCTTATGACTACATAATAAAATTTTGTTGCGAGGTTTCTTTTATTCAGAATAAATTAAAGTATTATATATTTAATTTGGGTTTATTATTCCCCCTTCCAATTTGGACTTAAATTGGAATTAAATTCTAAAATAAAAATGTTTTCAATTCGTTATTGATTATACCTCGTTGTTTTATTAGTGATTATATTTAGGGATAACTATGTATTACTCAAACTTAATTTCTAGCATATTAAATTTTTAATCATTTTATATTTTTCTTATAAAAAAAATTGGGTTTTATAATATCCCTTTGACTATTAATTGTGATAAACTGAAAATGTTATTATTAAAAAT